TTTCATTAGCAGGAAAGGCTGCCCCTGGTTTTGGCATTGGAGCCCTTGAGGAGCTTGATGCTGAGGATGAGGATGTCTATGCCACTGGTTAGTAGTTCTACTCTTTCATGTTGGGAGTGAATATGATTTTATTGGGGCATACATGATCGGATAAAACCTAATGAAATTTTAATACTTTTTAGTGTTTAGTGGGACATTGTATATAAATTGATATTCTACAAGATACTACTGTGTGTTGTGATGCACTGTATAGACCAATTATTTAAAAATTAACACTTTTTACATAGATATAAAGAAATATATTATATTCATCTAAATTCAAAATGTTGTACTAATTTCTGGAGAAATAAAAGTCCCCTGGGTTGGAAAAGAAAATTCCAGTCACTGTATACATTTGATAAAAAAAAATTTGAGTCAGCACACAGGAATACAAAGCCCATTATCTGAGCAGGCTAACCATTTTCAATCAAAACAACAGTATAAATGATATCTTTAACAGGGCATTTAAAAAGAAATGGATAGGAGAAAGAATTCTCCTTGGAGCTATATGTGTGAAGAATATCTAGGCAGAAAGAAGGTTAAAGGGCATAAAATCAAGAAGGCTCTATAATAGCCTTTTCTATTTCTGAGATGATAATTAGTGAAATAAAAGCATAAAGGGAGAAAAAAAAAATGAATCATTGAATTGCATGATTTGTTTAGATGATACAGAATCACATCGATTCATGCATGTGCTGCATGATTTTCAAAGATATCTCCATTCAGCACATTACAGAAATTGTTGGCTTACTGTAGCAAATGGTGTTATTCTAAAATATATGGCTAGGGGTATTGGGGTGTTTAGGGTTGAAACAGAGAACTTCTACAGGTTCCAATACATCAGAATACAATCAAGCCTAATAATCTCAATCTGAAGGCCTGAATATGGTATTCATTATGATGTATAAAAGGTGTTTAATGGATAAGCTTATGCAATATATCACTTGCACCAAACAACTGATTAGGTCATATGTTATATTAAGTATTAACTTATTGCTTGTTTGGGCTTAGTGATACTTCTGTCTGTAGAATTAGTGCTTCCTTCTGTGGACCCACTTCCAGCTTTCATGTTTTAGATAATGATTGTTTTCCTCATACAGATGTGAAAAAATATCTTTGAAGTTTGAGAGTGCAATTTTTCTCCTATAAAAATGTGAAAAAATAGGCATAATTTTTTTTTAAGGTTTCGAAATTGAAGAGGCTTATGTTCAAGAAGTTGAAGAGCCTACAACGATGAGCTTAGAAAACCAGAGAAAGAAAGAGCAGAAGAACCAGGGTGATCTGCCTGGTTTTAGAGTTGCATCTAATTCTGACTATAAAATGGAAAGGTTATTGCTAAACTATTAAACTAATATGTTATTTTGTTTTTAATATTCTATATTATTACTTTTCTTGTTTCACATTTCTAATAACTCTGATTTGAGTTAAATTTTTACAGCCTAGGGATCTAATATTTGAACAGTTTTTTTTGGGATCAGAAGACTATATGTTTGTCTTTTTTATTCTTTTACTTGTTTTGTATTTATATGATTGCACTTTAAACCATAATTGTATTAAACTGATTTTCAGATTCGATTCTCCTCTGATTCCCAAGGATTTTGTGCCCCACCATAAATTTTCTGGACCTCTTGAAATTAATTGCAAGAGCTATGAAGTTACTCCGCCGGAGGTTTCTCCTCCCGAGGATGGCAATTTAAAACTACTAATTGAGGGGGTTGCAAATCTGGTTGCTAAATGTGGTAAATTATATGAGGATTTATCCAGAGAAAAGAATCAAACAAATCCATTGTTTAGTTTTCTTTCTGGAGGAACTGGACATGATTATTATGCAAGGAAATTGTGGGAGTCACAACAAAAATGCAATGATCAGACTAGTCGGCAATTGGATGGAAAAATGCCTCCCAGTGTGCAGAGGCTAACCGCTGAGAGCCGAGGTCAGATATTAGGGGAAACACCTCTAGAAAAAAGCGCCCAAGATCCATCCTCAACTATTGCTTCTACAGATATTCAACTCCAATTTAATCTTACTGATACATTCACCAAGTCTACATCATTTGTAAGTAGTATAATCTTCTGTGTTAAACTCCTATTTGGATAATTAGAAAATATCTCTATTGCTTCTAGTAGTTTGGTTGGCCGACCAGATTCTGGCTTCAACCTGGTTTATTCCTTTGACGTGCTTTTTAGATTCCTTTATATGTAAACTTGATGATAAGGGTATAGCTGAACCTTTAATGGCCAGACTTTTGGCACAATGGCCAATGACCATACCATTAGGCTTGGGGCTATACTGGTTTGTGTACAAACTACAAATCCAAAGAGAAGTTAAAATGTGATTTTATTCCCCCCTCCCTCTCCTATCTCTTTTTGCAGAGACCAGTGTTTCTCAGACTGTAAATACCCAAATAAACTTGGATCTTCTTACTCATTTATTTTCTATTTTTGAGCAGAATGAGTTAATGGATGAAGAAAAGCCTTTCAAAGATGATCTTGCAAAGCAAGAAAGATTTGAGCAGTTTCTTAAGGAGAAATATAAAGGTGGATTACGCACTGCAAGTTCTAGTTTAGCTGGTGATATGTCAGAAGCTGCTCGTGCTCAAGAGAGACTAAGTTTTGAGGCTGCAGCTGAGGCAATAGAAAAGGGACGACAGGGCAGGGGAAGCAAGTCTTCAATTCTGTCTTCCATGGATTTCATCCCAGGTGGTGTTATGCAGTTTACTTCTAGTGAAGTAGAGGTATGACTAAGGTGATGTTACTTTTGTTTCTTATTCTATATAGCTTTGATTAATTTATTTTATGTATCCTGTGCTAACAGTCAAAGAAAGACCCGCTAGTTGAAGATATTTTGAGGAAAAAAATGTACCCTAAGAGGGAAGAGTTTCAATGGCGCCCTTCACCTCTTCTGTGCAAACGCTTTGATCTTATTGATCCTTATATGGGGAAGGTACATCAAGTGACCTGCTACATTTGAAGTTATTCTTAAATTGATTTTCTTGCTTGATTTGGTGAACATTTTTCACTTTTTATGCTCAGTATTTAAATTAATTTCTGAAATGTCAAAGAATGTTTCTAGCTTAGACATATTCCTTGCTTTTTGCAGCCTCCGCCTGCTCCACGGATAAGGAGTAAGATGGATTCCTTGATTTTTACATCAGATTCAGTCAAAGTTACCAAAGTGGATGAAACTGTTTCTTCAAAGAAAGACATCTCTCCTTTTCAACAATCTGCTAATAAAGACATGACCAAAAGTATCACTGAAAATGAAACTGAAGTGGATGTGGAAGTCGAAAATATTGAGAGGCCAGTTGACCTATACAAGGTAACTCCCTATTTCTAACCCTTTCCCGTCATTCTTGTCATGGTTAATACTTTCATGCGAAACAGTTTGTCCTTTACATGTTTTTTATGCCTTTTATGTCTGACCATAAAATCGTTGGGGTAGCTTTTTATGACAATACAGAATTAATTTGGTTTGAGTATCAGAACTAAGCACATATCCTAGGAGCAGGAATCTATTTTAATGAATTCTTATGCTCATTTATCACATGGATTTTTAATATGATGCACATGGCTACCTATAACAAATTCATATATTGCAGGCTATTTTCTCCGATGATTCAGATGATGAAGGTGAAGACCCTAGTATTAAGAGAGTGGTGAATCAAGAAAAGAAAGCTGAAGTAGCCAATACAGCATTGAGCCGTTTGATTGCTGGTGATTTTCTAGAATCATTGGGCAAGGAACTAGGAATTGAGGTTCCTCCTGATGTACCTTATCCTATGCAAAAGTCTAGGAATGTTGCATCTCAGAAAGAAATTGTTAATGAAGATGCAAAGACCGACATTCTGAAGAGTGAAAATAATGGTGTGATGTCCTTAAATCATGATTTGCCATATGATCAGCACATTGCTCACGAGGGTGGACCATCAAAAGGTGACACCATTCATGGAAATATGCAAACCAAGGGAACCGGTATCATGGGCAATAAACCAGGTAAGTTTAACGGGGACAATATTGAAGATGAAGGGAAAATTAAATCCCCTTTAATCCGCAGCCAAGACTACGACAGCAGTTCAGAAGAGGAAAGGAGCAGAAAGGGAACTAATAGGGAAAAATCTGAAGAGTACAAGAAAGTTAAAACCTCTGGTACACGCCGCCGTGATTATAGCAGCAGTTCTTCATTAGAAGAGGAAAGGAGCAGAAAGCGTTCTAGACATCATCGACGGAAGAGGCATGATGCAGGAAGTGATTCATCTAGCGATGATGATAGAGATAGATACAGTTCAAGGTCAAAAGGGAGAAGGACAGGTTCTTCCCGAGAAAAAAGCAGGGGAAGTGAAAAACACTCAAAACACCACAAACACAGAAAGCATGAATCTCCAAGTAGATCCTCTCGATATATCAACGAGAAGGACAGTTCACATTCCAAAAGAGAGAAAAAACGGAGGGAATGAGGGAAATACTTGTTTCTTATGTTTGAACTTCTTGGAATTATGTTGGAGGATATCATTGCTCTGCATTACACTACTATATTACTAGGTTTTGGGGTTGTGATGCTAAGGTGCACCCATGGATTTCATTTGGTCCTGAGCGAAACTCAAGCCTCTTTCTTGCATAGGTTGCTTTCTTCACCGGTTTGAAGTAATGCTGCTTAATTCAGTACCCAAGCTTATCATTTCTTGGATCAGATGTCAGGAAATGAAGAAAGTTGAGATAGTTCTTAGTCCTAAGGTTCAGTATATGTCCTTTGTACCTCTTTTTACATCAATATTACAGATTATGTCACAGGCTATTTTTCTTTCTCCATCAAACTTGATAAAGGGTTCATCAGCAAAGTTAAGAAAAAACTTGAATTGGAAAAGATAATATTGCGGTGGGAGAAGTGCCCTGTAAGAAAAATTATTAGATTGGAAAAATAGTATTGTGGTGGGATAAGTGCCCTTTACGGCTTTACTAGTGTACCATTTCGTTAAGGATAACGTTAAGGTAGTTGTGTATACAGGCCACTTTGCAAAAAAAAAAAAAAAAATGAAAAAAAAGACAACTAAAATTATAACTAATTTAAAAGTAAAAATACTTTATAATTTGTAAGCAATAAAAAATATAGGGTGAGCTTGACCTGCAGAAAAATAAATAAATGACTATATAATTCAAAATAATATATATTATTCATTTAATTTTATAAGTGGCCATAGAACAACACTAATTGGGGATAGAAAATAAGCAAAAATCTATAATTGTTACTTTGTAAAATAAAGGACAACTTTGTCTCACACGTAACATCGCTATAAAGTCGAAAATACCCCAATTACTCCCTCATATTCCAACATGATCATAATCACATTACGAAATAGAAAGGACAGTTTCAAAATAAAATTTAAAAAGCATTTACTTGTTCACTCTGATTCTCAAGTTATGAGACCGACACTTTTTTTGAAGCCATTAAGTTTCATTTATGAAAATTACATTCTTGAACTTCTAGAAATCGTTGAAACCGTATGGGGATAGTGAGAAAAAGAATTTGGAGTGCCCCTATATTGTCGTGAAAAAGTTTGAGTAAATTTGTTAAATACGTTAAAATTTTCAAAATGAAAATCAAACATCGGAACGTGTGATTGTGAAGTGTATAGTAATTTTCATGCCCCATGAAGATAACGAAATGACGCTGCCTACAAAGTACAAACACTGGAATATTATCCAAATATTTTCTTTTATACCGTGTCTTGTAAAATACTTTTTTACAGTATTTTAAATATAAAGGATGGGAGATAAAAGAAGAAAAATGTGTGGTAAAATCAAATGCAATGAAAAGAGATAATAATAAAAATAACAGAAAAATATTGGATAAATAATATAACTCCTCTATTGCACGAATCTTGAAATTCACGAATATTTGTACTTTGCACTGTAACTAATAAACACGGTTGGTTAATCTTCACTTGTTTTTTCTTTCTTCTTAAAGTTTTAGAAAATTAAAATACCGACATTATAATCAACTTTATATATTAAAAATGAATCATTATTTTATACAACAGTATTTTTTTTAAATTAATAAAAATTCTTTAAAGTTTTTATCTAATTCAATTTTATTTTTATAATTATTTATAAATTAAATATTAATATTTTAAAATAAATTATCAATAAATAAAAATATTTTTACAATATAAATTATTTATCATAAATTTAAAATATCATTTATATATTTAAAAATATATAAATATTCAAAATTTAAATATTATTTATATATTTAAACATGATATTTATTTATATACAAGATTTATTTTAAGTTTTAGTTATATATGATAAACATTTAACTTGTATGTTACACATATTAAATTACTAATATAGTTAATTCATAAAAAAATTACCGAAATATAATTTATATTTTAAAAAAATATTTATTTATAAAAATTTCTGATATAATTTATATATTTAAACATAATATTTATTTTTATATATGATTTATTATAAATTTTAATCTATACAATTAATAAAAAGAATTATTCCATTTGATGTCCACTTTTATAATTTTTTAATTTTTTAATAACTACTTACTTTATATAATTATTATTATTTATTAAAAATAATCACAAAAATACAAAATATCTTTTACACTAATTATATATAACAAACATTTAATTTATGAAATACACACGTTAACCTACTAATTTAAAAATAACTTTTATTCAATTCACTACGTTTAAGTATATATGAAAGTTAAAGTCATAATATTGATGGTATGAATAACACGATTAATGTTGGTAGTCACATACTATTACTATGTGTGTCAATCGTTCAATAACTGCGGCATTGTCGAAAAGGACAAATTGGATCGTTAGTTGAAATTATTAACGAGCCTCATCATTGCATTTGAACTTTGAAGATAGAAATTAGAAAGAGAGATATCGGAAAAAACATTATATATTACACTTTATTACATTAAACCTTTAGGGTGGGCCCGATTGCCATCATGTAAATGATTAATTTGCTAATTTTCAACCGTCCAACCTAGGGTTTTTCAGGAGTTACTTATCTTGGTGCAAGAAAAAAGTTAATTTTATATTTATATTTATATAATAATTTTATAATTAATGAAACAAGATATCAAAATATTTTTTTTTAAAATTAATTGATATATTTAAAATTTTAATTTAAAAATTAAATCGTTAAAATTTAACATTATAAAGAGATAATTTAATAACAATGTTTTAAGTAATTTGATTGTTTCCTATATATATATATATATATATTTCACATTATGGGGTAGATAAATTTATTTATATTTAAAAACAAAAAAAAGTTTTTTTTCTTAATTATGGAGAGAGTATTTATTAATTTTTAAAGATACTTACTACGGGGTAAAAGAAATAATATCTTTCACATTGGTATTTAATCATCTTAATTATTTTTATACTTAGTTTTGGCCTTTTGGTTTCTAAGTTTCTTTCATGATCATTTTTACATAAAGGTATAAAGAAGTGTTTTAGACTTTTCAAAGTTTCTATGTTAGGCATTGGGTCATGAGTACTCGCACGGATTCAACTTAGTAGACTTTACTAATTTTCAGCCTTAAGTGTTGGAATTTGACGTGAAGAGTTGAATTTTTTTTTTAGGGTTTAGAGTTTATAATAAGATATAATATCCATCTTAAAAATTAAAAGAGAAGAGAGATAAGAATAAAAATGTATAATTGACTTGGCAGGAAGATTCGGAGTTTCTTTCTCCAAATTATATATGTAATAATTTACGATACAAGAATAAATTTTACAATTATAATATTTTAATTTATTGATGTTTCACTTGAATATTTATGTAAAAACATTGCTATTAAGTACGGATAGCTCATGTACAAGTACAACTGATATGAAAAATGGTGGGGTGATTATTATTTTCCAAAGCAATTACATAGAAAAATAAATGAAAATGAAGAAATAGTAATATTACAAAATTCATTTTTCAGTGTCAACTTTCCTACAAATTTCTTTTATCATAGTCCTTTATATGATATACATAATTATATTTTAACTTAAGTTTACCTAGTAGTAAGAATTAATATAATATGCAGAGTTGAAATTATTTTGATGTTATATATTGTAACTTTTATATATAGATGATAGATCAAGTTTTTTTTTTCTTTTTTTTTTTTAACTCATCTAGCAATAGTATTAATTTTTTTAGTAAATAAAAATTATTTATCTTGGCAATCAGTGTATATACATAATAATTTTTGTCAAGATTCATATACTTAATAGTACCTTATAAGTGAAATAATATAAAATAAAATAAAATGTATCTGAATCACCCCAATTAAGAGAGTTTTATCACGGGATCTTCTTGAAGGAGGAGGAAGTTTCTTTTCACAACATCAACTTTGACAGATCTTCCATTTTATTTTCTTTTAATTCCCATAGATTGTTGTAACCGAACGCTTTATTAGGATATTACTATATATAATCTTCTTTCATCTCTTGGAATTATATAATCGGATATAGTTTTTTAATTCTACGTTCATTTTCATCTGATTTGAGAAATCTAATTTTCTAGATATGCTGACTGCTTCCTTTAGATTAATAATCCTTCCGTTGATTTTGGACCCTTTGGTTGAGTTAGAAAGTCATATTAAAGGTTAAACTTGAAAATTTCTCCCTCCATTTGCTTAGATCTCATAATGACTCATAATTGGTGTAATTCGGTTAAATCTCCATAATTTTATTTTCTACATTTTCTTTCTTTAATTTTTTTAAAGACTCCATTCAATTATCCAACTGGTGTGAATTTAACAAAATACTCTTGCAAGTTCTTTTTATAAATCTTAATTATCTAACTTGCTATAATTAAAGAGATTTTGATTCATTTGGTGGATAATATTAAATTTGTTAAATCGTATTTTTTTTAAAAAAAAAATTATTATAACATTATTGAGACTCATATTCTACTAACTATCTTTGTCTTTTGTTATAAAAAAAATTAAATACGTTAAGTTCTCAAAACTCGTTAGAGTTAAAGACCAACCTCAAAATTCAAAGAGAGTTTACAAAAATATTTATAATTTATTCATTGACAAAAATTTTTATTGACAGCATAAATCAAATTCACGTCCTTATTAGACATGATAAATTCTTATCAATTGTATCAACCTTTGTTGATCTTTTAATAGGTGTCAAATTTGTTTTAATCGTGAGAGTATAAATTGAACATATATTAATTTCCTTTGACTTAATTCCCTAATTTGATATAATTTTATCTTAATTTGTTGAAAGTCAACTTTAATTTACAATTTATGCTTTTGGAAAATTTACAAAGTTTTATTATGTTAATTTGTAATTAAGAAGGGAAAAGATGTGAAATATTGAAGGAAAAAAAAAACAAGTGAAAAGACTAGTGAAACATTATGAGAGAATTAGAAATTTGCAAGTGTTTTATAATCTAATTTGTTTTGCTACAATTATCACTAAACATAAAATCTCACACTTATGTCAACCTTCTAAAATATTTTATAATCTAATTCATTTTGCTACACTTATCACTAAATATAGAATTTCAAGCTTACACTAACCTTCCAAAGTGTTTTATAATCTAATTCGTTTTGCATGCTTAACTCCACAACTCTAAAGTTAAATTTTTGTTCTACTCTGTCTCACACTTGTAGACACCCAATTTCGTCTGGGGGCATACAAACAAGGAAATGAACATTTATTATCAAGGAAAGAAGCTCCCGAAGCATAGAAGCAACAAAACATGACATCAGAGGGTCTTAAAGTCCAAACAAGTTAGTTTTAGTAGCACAGAACAGGCTGTTGCAAAACCAGAACGGGCCGTTCCAAGCTCCTAAAAAGGGCTAAAACCCTAGTTTAGAATGGGCCGTTCCTAAACTGAAACGGGCCGTTCCTAAACTGGAACGGACTGTTCCTAAACTGGAACGGGCAATTCTGAGCTATTAAAAAGGCCT